GTTGTAAAACAAGCCAATTCACTTCGTGAACTCGGCAACCAGGTTATCAGGTTTTTTTTTACCTCCGTTTTTTTTTTTGGCGGTAACCATAGTGGTGGTCGAGTAGATCATGTTGTGCGGGGTCGAGAACCCCCACTACGCGCAAGGGGGATGATCGCACCACGTTGTGTTATCACGGTCAAGCACCCTCGAGGCAGTTACACAGTGCTTACAACTGTCTCAGGAAGTGAAAGCACCAGAAAATAAATTACGCCATACGCAGCTGAAATCCGTACGCAAGGAAGTAAGCACAAGATGCCGAACACCCTTAGCAGGATGCAGCGCACCCTTCATGCGACTCGCCGAATATCTCGCGGCGCTTCGCGCTTGGTGATGTGAGAGCCTGGTCAGGTGAGAACCCGGCGTGCTCCGTCCCGGCTTTGTAGGGATGCGAGGTCAGTGGGTCTAACGACTACGGCATGCACGACTTTGAGTACCCCCCCTCCCCCCCCCTGGTCTTCCATCAAGCTCGAATGAATGTAGAGTGCGACGCCCGGTGCTGTTTGATGTGACACTTTGTGCTTAGATGAGCTGGAGGGAGGCAGACGTGATTCAGTTTTCTTTTTTCTCATACTCTTCAGCAGCAGCGTATGTACCGAATGGACAAAAGTCCGGCGATTTTCGCTGCACCGCCTTGTTGATCGTCATTTTTTTCTATCCCCCCAATGTACATGTATAATGGTGAAGAACTGGGTAATCATTTCTGTATGTGAATCACGTCAGTTTTGTCAAACCGTATGCACATATATCCTTGGTCTGTGTGTCTTCTAGGTTGGCATCGACCGCGCTAAGCTTGTGTATGCCCTTGTTGTCTTGTGGTTGCACCGTGCAGACGTTAACAGCTCCTGCCAAATCAGTTTCTGGGAGGCAGGCGTTGTCGCCTGGTTCTCTGTTCGTGTGCGTGCGTGGATTGCTCGTAACACGCGACAGAGTGCGCCGGGTCAATGTTTTTTATGCTTGCTTCGCAAACCTTGACCTTGTGTATTTCTCCGTTGAAAGCATCGACCGCGCTAAAGGGTGTTCAACATTCAACATGTGTGTTGCGTTCTTTTCCTTTGCGCCTTGCGAGTATTTAGTAAACTCTGCCAAATCAGTTTCTGCTCTGCAGGTGTGTTGTGGTCTGCTTTTTTTGTCTTCCACTGCTCGCGTGGATTGCTCGCAACACCAGTTTGTGCCGGATCAAATCTTTCAATGCTTGGTTCGCGTGCCTGCACTTTTTTTCCTTCCTGTCTCGCACGATATGTTTAGTTTCAGATCAACGCTACCGTGGTGTCGAAAGGGGGAATGCGGATTGACTCTGTCTCGAGCGAGCGGGAGGTGATGGCGACGGGCTCATACCGTCTGGGTTTCTGCTACGCGGAAGGCATTCTACCCGCGGGAACGTACACTGTTATCTTCAGCACCTACAAACCGGGCCAGGTGTGTGCGACACATCAGTCGGTGTTGTAGTTGTTATTGATGTCGTTGCCGTGCATTACCCATTGTTTAGTACCCTACGTGAGCCTAGTAATCGTTGTGAACAACTGGTTCCGGGCCACGTGGTTCACGTTTAGTCTGTCATGCTTTTCTTCCGTACCTTTACAAGAACAACCAAAGACCGCGCATACCGTTGCCTTCGTCATACTCTCTGCCTTTTCTCCTCCCCGTGCTTCTCACATGGCTCGAATTTGGTGCTGGCATCCCAATATTTATTGATGACACGGATTGAAAAGACACTGGAAGACAGCAGTCTAGATACATTGATGTTCTGCTCGCTACTCGCCATTTGGCTATCCTTTGATAGGTGGCGCGGTTCGTGGCAAAGTTGTACACGACGAGTCCTGTGAGGCCCCCTACCCGCATCCCGCAGGAAGGAGAAGGCATGGCATCTAAGCAGGCGAGTTACGTGTGATGTATGATGTGTCCACGTAGTCTATGAACTTGTCCTCTTGTTGAAGCCGTTCAAGTCTTTACCAAGTATATGTACTTCTATGGGGAGACCTTTCATTTTTTGTTTCCTATGCACAAGTATGCATATGCGTGTAGTAAATGACGGTTATTTGAACAGCGCTTGTGCGTCTAGTCACTAGATACCAGGGCTGTTTTTTCGTGTCTGCGCCGTACGTCTCGTGTCTGTCTTCCGTCCTTTGGGGTCACTTTTTTTCTTCCTTGTCCTGTCTTTCTCGCAGTCTCGCTCGCTCGCTCTCTTCACCTATACAGCACTGATGTCTTTTTGAAGAGGATAACTGATGAAGCCATCATTTTGTATCAGGTGGTGCATGGGCAATGGAGACAAGGTAATGGCTCGGCGGCGGGCTGCTCCAGCCTCCGCAGATACCTTGACAACCTCATGTAAACAACCTGGACATCCCACTGCGCCCACTTTCTTTGTACCGACGGCTGTCTTTCAGGATTCCCTCGAAAGCGACGTGTGTGTGAGCGTGCATCTTTGAGCGCAAGACGAGTGATAAAATAGTTTTCCAGCACACTGGAGGTGCAAAACGACGTTTTTGCTGAACCATTCGCGAAAGTTCGAAGGCGCGTTCCGCAGAACAGACTTGACTCGATCAGCCTCGAATAGTAGCTCTTCTGAGTTAAAGATATACGGTAGGCAGGGGGGTAGTGGACGAGATGAATCAAAAAGGAAAGATTGCGGTGGTAAAACCGTTGTTTCTCGATCTGTCTCGCAGCCAGATCGTGTGCCTTGAACGAGCATCTTCTACTGTAGCACGGACATACACCGGTCTGAGCGGTGCAAGCCCCTGCTTGGTCTAGTCTTCAATTTGATTTTATGTTGCAAGGAGAAACATGTTGGCATGTTAATGAAACAACAAACAACAAACACGGAACAAAGAACACGGAAGATCGGCGCGAGCACGAAGAAAACGGAGCGACAAGGCCGAACACAACATCGATCGGTGATTGGTCGATGTTGGTGTCGCCATGAATGGACAGGGATTCAATATCGGCGCAGCTACGCCCGCAGGTCGCCTCGCCCCACGTTAACAAGACTTGGTTCACATTCCGCGGAAAATATTATTAGTATCATTTTTTTTTTTCTCGTCATTTGGCCCCTCCATGTCTTTCTGTGTGAGCCCTTTGCTCCCCCGGTAACCCCCCCCCCGTTCCCTCAGGCAAGACTTTTCGGCGTTCAGGACGCCTTCGTTCAGGACTAGGAACCACCGGTGCTTCGCTTCAAAGGGACGCATGGTCATGTCAACAACGCTAGTAGTTCAGGCGATATGTGAGCATGACCCCCTCCCCCCCACGTGTCCACCCGTATTTGCTTCTTTCTGCAAGGTTTCTCTTCACCGTACCGTCCCGAGCGCCAATACTCCTCCGCGTCGTCATCCCAGAAAAAAGAAAACGCGGGACCGTTCCCCGAGGGGAGGCCCGCGGTCAACATCGCGCTCTTCCCAACCACGAGGGAGGGGGGAGCTGATGGCACCGCGGGACCCCCGGAGGATACCGGCGGCATGCACCTGCGAGGTGTCGGGAGAATCTCCCTCAATCCCAAGTGTCAACCGACTTGCAACCTCGCGATCGCGTCGTCGAATGGGGGGTCTATGCATACATGGACTCGAGCGCGGGGGCCGTTACGGAGAGCGTGGAGGTTGAGGCCGGGGAGTACGTTGCCGTGGTGTCGTCGTTTAGGCCACAGGAGGCCGACTATGAAATCACGATCTACACGACCCCGGCGCTCGCCAGGGTGCAGCGGATCATGGGCTGACCTGCTCATCGGATGGCTGTTGGGAGAACCGTTACAGCGTTCTTCCGCGTTGTGCGATTGATCGGTTGCGGAAATGTGTCACACGGTCGACACAACAGTAGTAGAAATGTCTTCATGTCAGGCCTGCGTTTCATCACTGCTGGATCCTTCGGGGCTGTTTTATTGTTGTGTAGGCATGCATGTAAATGACTGTGTCGAGCATTATTTTCTCCTGGTGTGCATAAGCGGGAACAAGCAACACGAAGGAACATTTAGACGAGACTGTACATTTTCTCCCAGTCTTGCGTTGCCTTTTATTACTGAACGGTACAGCAGTTATTGGTATTAGATAGTAAGGGTTTTGGCAGGAGATGCAACTCCTCATAAGGATATAATTTGAGCAGGGGATGAGCCGTGATAGCCCCCCTCTGGAGGTGGCGATGCTCGCCCCTTGTGCTCAGCCTACATGCACCAAGAGCACTGCTGTTCCAACAGATAGATAAACAAGTGAGTCTTCATCAGGGTCTTCAGGGATACCGAATTACTACGCGTGTAAACCCCTCAACACTTGGCACACGTTGCCTTCGCGACTCAAGAGCTCCGTAGCATTCCTCTTCGATGCACCGCCTCCGTTACCAACGCGCCAAGCGCTCAGTGATTCCCTTGATTAGCTTTGCACCAAGAAACGGCGGTTGTTGGCCACTACTCAACACGTGGGGCAAGCAGAGTAAGTAATTTTTTTCGACAGACATCGTAGTGTACCGAGAGCCATAACAACAGGATGATTGCCCGGCTGCCTTGACGAAAGATCGTCGTAGGCCCTGCTGCCTGGTACCCTTGGCGCGGGTCAAAAAAGGAAGCCAATAGTAGCGTGGTTGTGGTTAAACATATCTCCAAAACGCAGCATTCTAGCAAACAAAGCGGACAGCCCAACGCCAGCGAGCCCACGCAGCAGCAAGCGGGAGCAAGCAGGACTGCCGAGGGCGTTGTCTACTCAAGGAAAGCCGTTCTCCTGACAAAAACGACCAACGGACCACCACCTCGCCGCGACACGCGTCATGGACACACCACAACCCAGAACGCTTCGAACCAGAAGACTACAATGGACCTTACCAACACATATCACCTTTGCAAATCGAAAACGGCCTCGTCGACATTTTTTTTTCGGAAACCAAGACTGGTGGCCGGCGGGCATTCCTTTGCCCGCGCGCTCTCAGCAAACAGTTAGAATCTTACACGCGGCTCGAGAAAACGCGATACCCGTCGCAGCATTGTTTTGTAGCCCTTAACCCTGTTTTTGCCCGTGCTTGATCCCAGACACGATGTCGTCTATACGAAGGATCATGCAAGCCGCCTGCCACCGACAAAAGAATGGAACATCAGAAGGGACAGGGGGGACAACAGAGCGGAGAGGGAGGGGACGGGGTCAAAACCCAACCATCGACACGAAAATCCCTTCGGTAGATGTGCACAACAAAAAAACGACGCCCTTGCTCTAACGAAAAGGCGGCTATCAATAGCGTTTGCAGAGAGCAGACTTCGCGAGGTAACTAAGTTTACTTACTAAATGATAGAACGGGTTACTCGGTTGGGTTAGGGTTTTCGGGGTACGGAACCCCTCTCTCTATTTGGCATTTAGTCTAACGCTTAATATCCTCGCAAAGGCGGTCTAGCGTTTGGGGGTGGCGGTTGGCACACGCCCCTCTCCACCTGTACATTACTAAGGAGCAACTCGTTGCCCGTACCCTCTGCCGTCGAGCCTTGCGTTGTCGAGTGTTCTGCGAACACAAAAATTGTTTGACAACAACGCCTTCTTGGCTTTTTCCTCGCCCTTACCGGCTACCACTGCACCCGCCAACACCTGACACCTGACAGCTTACCTCGACCGCGGTCTTGTAGGTCTGCGTCTTGACCGTGAAGGGCTCCCAGATCCCGAGGTCCCTCATGTCGGTCATCACGCCGGTCGTGCCATCGATCCCCCAGGTGCACTTGGCCTCGTTGGCGTGTTTTGCCTGTCATTTCCCGTTACGTTGACGATTCCCACGGAAAATTACAACAAGTTTCGATACCAAGCTTGAAAGCCAGTGCCAAGTAAATGTGTAACGCAGCATCACAAGAACGTAAAATACTTCTACATGCTATTCATACGTCGTCCTGGGTTGCCGTCGCTGGTGCGTCCAATCATACCCAAACATACATATCCAAAGGTGTAAATTAACTAGAATACGACGTGTGGCATGACAGCTGGCGCACCTACACGCTACACGCGCACCGTGCATCGTCGAGCTCAGTTGAAAAGCCCAGTGGGTTGATCAACTCGGCCATGTTCTTGAACACCAGAAAAATGGCCTGTAACACTTTTGGTGTTGTTACCTCGTGGCAGTCCCGACCCTACGCAAAGCAAAACACAACGCATCCCAAAAACAAACAGCCTAATTCAAGCTCAACAGACGGTAGACAGGGGCGGGGACCATGGTTCACGCCGGACTTCCCAACCAACAAAAACAGCGTCGGCATCGAACAGAACAGAACGGGAACAGACACACAGAGAGAAGGAAAATAAATATGCTGCACATTTGGAGTTAAGGTAGTCTCACCCTCAGCTGTGTGAGCACTCGCACGACGTTTGCCCCGCAGTTCTGTGCGAGCGTGCGGGGGATGACTTCCAGCGCAGAAGCTGCCGCCTTGAATGCCCACTGCTGCACGCCTTCCACTTCCTGGGAATCCAACGGCAAACACAAACGGATGGAATGGACAACGATGAAAAGACGAAGACCAGTTGTCAAGTTATGTGCATATAGACGTGAAGTGTAATACCTCCAAAGTGTAAGGGATTGACTTCTGGTTTTACGTTTTATCCTCGTGTTGCCTACTTTCTTGCCGCAGAAAACAAGATGACCGGAGGTTGAAGCATATCATGTCGAAGCCGTTCATCTGCTGTGAGGGGTGATGTCCAGCATGGGGTCCAGCAAAATACAGCACTTCTATCGTGTCACATTGTAAACATACATGTCTCGCAGAATCACGTCTTCAGCTTGGCCAAGACCCCCTGTGAAATCGAGAGAACACGAGCACTGCGGTTGTCCTACAAGTACTCCTGTCGCCAGGTCGCATCGGTCGTGAACTATCACACTGTTACACTGTCACGCGTGGCAAGACCAGCAGTCGCCTACAGCGTGTAGTCTCCAGACCGTACGCCACGCCACACCGCACCCAGCACTCTTGCTAATGAAAGACGTCAGAAAAAAGCGAGCCAGACTTCCTTGCAAAATAATTCAATGGAATGAGCACGCTGGACCGGCGGCGACGGCGACGGCAGCAGCATTATCTTCTTGTCCACGCCAACAGGTGCATCGCTCATGCTCGCAGTCGAGGTAGGAGAGGTGTCGACCCTCAAGACGATAAATGCCTTATGACAAAAAAATAAAATGCCTCGCAAAATCGCGGCACGGTTCACGTCAACGCCCTGCACACGCACCACGCTATCCGCAAGTCCCCCGGTACGTAGGTCGCAACGCATGTACACTGTGCCCCCAAATGGCCAACACTAACCCCAACACTCAACGCTGCAAGAATACTGCACGGAGGCTGTGTCGTCGTTTTCATCCGTTGAACACTATTAGGAAAAAACTAGTACAACACTAGTTCAACACCGGCAGCCGTATTGCTGCATCACGTTCGACCGCATTCCTACTTCCAAAATTCGAACGCTTGACTCGGGTACAAAGCCGTACTTCCATTATCGTGGTGTCAAGGCACCATGCCGGTCTTGTCTTGGCCACTGATTGCCTATCAGGCCTACCTGCGCCTTCTTGGACAAAGCCTGCGACACCGCCATCTCAGTGGCACCACCACCGGGCAGCAGGCGCGGCTCGAACACCACGTTGCGCACCACCTGCACCACAGGTACGCACGCATCAAAACACATCAACACATCAACACTCCTGCCGGCAATGCAAACAGTGGTTTCGAAATCGTTCCAATGTCCCCTTCATCCCGATACATGATGAGAATGACGGCATTCCGTTGGTGAGCCGGATAGCGATGTCGTGTAAACATTGCCACACCCGCATAACTATTCGCTTCTCCTCCGCCCTTCCCCTTTTCCCAGTCACGGGATCCCGTGGTTTAGAGAGCGCTTGTCATCCCGGGCTAAGATTGACGTTTTTGTAAAAGTTTAGGTCATCGCAGCGATTGATGCTCGTCAAAGAATGAAATGACAGAGACAATCCACACCAGAGAGAGAGAGCGAGACACAGACAGAGAAGTAGTGAGACATAATAAGGGGAAAAGAAGAGAGAGGCGAAGCATGGCGAATTAAGGGACAAAAATACGCACAAAATGTTCCGCCGTGCATAAATCCTTGTTCCGCCGTGCCACGCGGCGGGAGGAACCAAGCAAGAGAACTACAGGGATTTCAAAAACAAACCAGGCCAAGCGGTAGGCCCCTCCCCCTCCCTCTCTCCCTCTACCCTGGGGGGGTGGTAGATGCCAGCGGGGCGCCGGCGAAGGTTACGTTCACGGCCTGGGGTCCGTGGTAGGCTTTACGTTAACATAGCGCCGTCGCGTACCAACCGCACCCCATAACGTGAAAACAGCTCTGTAGGCTAGACAACGTGCGAGATTCGTATCAACGGATCTCAAAACGCGTGATGTACTAGTCAAACCAAATTTAGAGAAATGGAGGCCATGTTCGCTTCTGCCAGGTGCTATAAGTAGGCCGGTGCGCTCTGTGACTCCGGGTAAAAAGGGTGAGGTAAGTTAAGCATTCTTTTCAAAAGCAGGTTACAGAAACAAAGTTTCTTGCGCTTGTTGAGATTTGTAGGTTGTGTTGTGCTTATGGCACCTGCTCTACCTGCATGGCACCTACTGCAGTACTCTACCTGCATGGCGTCGGCAAGGTTCCGGTCGACCTCGTTGAGCACGTCCTTGCTGCCCCCCCTCAGCAGCACGGTACAAGCCTTGGCATCCTTGCAGCCCTCCAGGAACGTGAAGTACCTATGTTATCGGTATAGTGTTTTAATAGTGTTGGCTTTAAAATCACGTCTTGCTCACTGCCATTTCGTACACATCGTAGGTGTTGATAGCCACGG